GTACTTATCATGTCAAGGAGGTTGTTATCGTCAGTGATAAAATGAAGAAAGTGGAATTTGTTGTCTATTTTAATTCAACCAAAAGTCAAATCCATTGTATGTGTCGGTGGTTTGAGTTTAAGGGCATTATGTGTGTCCATTCATTTAATGTGCTCATTGAGAGGTGCATATATAATATTCTATATACTTATATTGTGCTGAGATAGACAAAAGATTTGGAAAGATAGTACACATACATTCCAACCACGTACACTAAAACTAGGGCTGTTCTCAATGCAAATGTGCATGATAAATACCACAAGATGTTGGATAAAATACTAAAAATTGCTTCCAACGATGATGGCAAACACACAGTGAATGATGGGTTGACAGAAATCAAGGAGAGGGTGAAAAAAGATCAATCGGGTTGTGCGAGTAGTGTGCCACTTTCAAGTAGTAATGCACCACCTTCTACTAGTCATGGACGACCTTCTAACACTTCCCTCAAAAGTCCATCTGGTTGCAGTACAACAAAAGAAATCAAAGCTCGCAAGGTGCTTAGTCCTCTAGTTGCTCGATGAAGAGGTCGTCCATGTACTAAGCGGAAGGTTAGCAAAGTGGATGAAATAGTCAATCGGTTGAAGGGAAATAATAAAAAGCCTACGAAAGTGCAAGTACATTTTTATAAGTTACATTTTTTTGTATGCGAATTGTTTAAATTTTTTTTTAAGTTAAATTATTGACCAGTGTGTCTTACTATAAGGCCATAAGGTCCCTCAAGGGCAGCCTCACAGGTTACATTTCCCATCTACAAATGCCATGCAATACAGTCTGTATGACCCGGTATGTGTTCGAGAAAGGACTTTATATTTTCTTCTATGTTTTTATTTTAATTTTTTAAATGATTAATGAAATTGAATTACTATGATCATAAGGTGGCCCAAACTGAACCTTATTATTTTTCTTGCACGGATGGCATGCAACAGAATATGTATGTACTGGTATGTGTTTAATATATGATATGAAATATTTTTGATTGTTTTAATTTATATATATGTTTGTGGACAATATTTATAAATTTTACTTTGACATTGAATATGCACAGGTTAGCCCAATGCAAATGGTGGACAATAATGGAAGTACATCTCTTACTCAATCAGGAATGGTGAACAACATATGCAGTCAAACTTCGACAAAATTTGTTGACTTGAATGTAGATGCGGATCCAAATGGCCCATTTTTTTTTTAGTTTAGTAGTATTACTTTGATGACTTTGGTTTGTAAACAATGGATGGTTTGTAAACGTTGGTTTGAATTAAATTGAATTCAATGTAATTGAATTTTGTTTGTGTTGGTTGTTAAGTTTTATTAGCGCATTTGTTCGTTATGGTAATACATATTATTTAGGTGGGCATGTTTTGGTTATAGTTCCTTGTACACTCAATGGTTGCTGATGCATTTGTTTTTTTCTTAATAAATTAAATTGATATTGAACAGATGTAGTCACTTTGGAGGCTCAAATGATTTTGAATAGAAATAGTCTCTTTGGAGGCTCAAATGATGTTGAACAGATATATTAGAAGACCAAAATAGGCCCAAAATTGTACCAAAACAGCTCCAGAACAGCAAGGTCTTTGGCGGGTCGTACAAGTATTTTGGTCGGTTGGCAAACATATTGACCGGCAAGACAAGTTTTTGGCCGGGCAGAGATAGTCCAGCATTCAATCACTTTTCATTCCAATTTATAGTCCACCATTCAAAACAAGTCCACTATTACACCTACTGCTTGTGTTTTCTAACAATGACAACATTTTCTGTGATCAATAACTATCTATCAGTCCAGCAGCAACATAAAAACATTGAATTTTCAGTGACAACATATACCTATGACAATTAAAAGTGACAACGTATATCCACAATCCATGAGAACACGACATTCAATTCATGACAACTTTGAAGAGGTAACATATATACTTAATCCATCATGTCCAATACATCTATAATTACATTCATAAAATTCCCCAAAAACTAAATTTTTAAGTAATTTACATTACAAAGTACAATATGATACAGAATACAATCACATAAATCGTCACCTTGAAATTCTTTTCCATCCTTTGAAGCCTTCTACCATGGTCATGAATTTCATTGTCCATCTCCGAAAGCCTTGTCCTTACATCATTGAATTCCTCTGTTCTTGGAGCTTTACGAAGTCCAGTATTGGAACAGATTGTAGAGGTAATGTCCTCATCATCATCGTCTGCGAACTTGACGTAATTGCAGTGTTCTTTTTTACTCTACAAAGCATAACAATCAATTAGTCAGATTATGCAAATAATTTTCCAAATACAAAAATGTTTACTTCATAACACATACTTACATATTTTAATAGGAAAACAAAAAACAAACGCCCTTGATTTCCATTCTCATTAGTTCGTACAATATACGTTATAGTTGTTCTCCTTCAGTCACACATTCTTGGTTTTAATCTAACATTGTTGTTGTTCATAGAAGAAGAAGCCATTTTTAATATGCATAAACAATGAGAATGTAATATGTAGTTACAAAACATATTACATTAAGTTGTTTTCAATCTAACATTAAATTCAACCCACTCTCATTAAAAATGGCAGGTTACAGAACATACCGAACATATATACCAAATTCAATATACCAAATTTAATCCTTATCTAGTTACAGAACATACCAATTAACTGAACTTGGTTTAGTTTGCATGCACTTCTCCTTGTAAACATAATGGTTGGCTCATCACAAGGTAGCTGCTACTGTGAGGTTGCTCCTTGTAGACACCCCATTTTTGACCGTCCTCAAGACTTGGACGTCACCGCTTGGAACACTCGGTGATTATCCATGTTTGTGTTCGTTTGGAGTTCCCGGAGGTCTCGGCTCGCGCGCCTTGCCTCAGGATCTCCGAACTTGACTGTTTAGTGTCTGGTTTCACACCAAACACTTGTGTTTTGCCTTTGAGAGGCAGGGTAGGGCTTGTAGACCATCCCCACCCACCACCGGCAGTGGCTAGAGGCCACCGGCTGGTTTTTGCCTCCACCGGCACTGTAGTTTGCCGGTCGGCATAGTTTTTTGCTGGTCGGCACTCTTTTTGGCCAAGATGACATTTTTGGTCGGCCGATTACTGTGCATCTGCTTTTGCAGATATTTTAAGACAGCTGTCTTGCTTTTGTAATAATAATAATAATAATAATAATAATAATAATAATAATAATAATAATAATAATAATAATAATAATAATAATAATAATAATAATAATAATAATAATAATAATAATAATAATAATAATAATAATAATAATAATAATAATAATAATAATAATAATAATAATAATAATAATAATAATAATAATAATAATAATAATAATAATAATAATAATAATAATAATAATAATAATAATAATAATAATAATAATAATAATAATAATAATAATAATAATAATAATAATAATAATAATAATAATAATAATAATAATAATAATAATAATAATAATAATAATAATAATAATAATAATAATAATAATAATAATAATAATAATAATAATAATAATAATAATAATAATAATAATAATAATAATAATAATAATAATAATAATAATAATAATAATAATAATAATAATAATAATAATAATAATAATAATAATAATAATAATAATAATAATAATAATAATAATAATAATAATAATAATAATAATAATAATAATAATAATAATAATAATAATAATAATAATAATAATAATAATAATAATAATAATAATAATAATAATAATAATAATAATAATAATAATAATAATAATAATAATAATAATAATAATAATAATAATAATAATAATAATAATAATAATAATAATAATAATAATAATAATAATAATAATAATAATAATAATAATAATAATAATAATAATAATAATAATAATAATAATAATAATAATAATAATAATAATAATAATAATATTGGTATCATGGAGTGGGCGGTGGTACAAAAATATTGTGTAGAAAAAGAGGGAGATGGTGGAAAATTATTGTTTAGACAGAGAGAAGGCATGTGAGGTGTAAAGTGGAGGACAAAATAAAAGAAAAAAAGGTGAGAAATGTGATGATTTCTGTCCCTTCGCACAAAAACAGTACCACTAAAAGATGTTGTGGCTGCAAAGCCTGAAAAACTTAATGCATCAGTGGTTGATGGCAGAGACAATTGGAGTGTGGGACAGAGACAGCTTCTGTGCTTGGGGAGAGTCATGCTGAAACACAGCAAGATTCTGTTTATGGACGAAGCAACGGCTTCTGTCGACTCCCAGACTGATGCTGTCATTCAGAAAATCATTCGCGAGGACTTTGTGTCGTGTACAATAATCAGCATAGCTCACAGAATACCCACAGTTATGGACTGTGGCAAAGTGATGGTTATGGATGCTGGATGGGCAAGGGAATATGAAGCCCCATCTCAGTTGCTCGAGAGGCCTTCGTTATTAGCCCAGCAATACTCAGATTACTATGCATTTAGAGGCCATGAGGTGTACCAAACACCATTCAAGGAGGGGAAGAAAAGAGGGTCTGAGAAGCTTGATCAGAAGCAGGTTGACCATAGGAAGTCCATTGATGCATTTGGACAGAGGACTTCACAGTATAGAGGTGTCACAAGGCATAGATGGACCGGTAGATATGAAGCTCATCTATGGGACAACAGTTGTAAGAAAGTTGGAAGAGGCAGGAAAGCGAAGGTATGTGTACAAAATTCCAGCGGGCAGCGAAGGCAAGGTTGCCGGCCGGCTGCCCGCCGGTGAGAAAACAAAATACGGGCCTAAATCTTATGGCTCTGATACCATGTAGAAATTTAATGTATAAAGAGAAATAGAGAATTGTATTATTGATTGATATTGATCTTCTATTACAATGATTCATGATTCCTATATATAGAAGAGGGTGAGTGTGTAGTAGGTAAGGAGTAGGTGAAGTGGAGGTGGTAGTGGTGTAGTGGGTTAGGTTTAGTGGAGTAGGTGAGGTGGTAGTGGTGTAGTGGGTTAGGTTTAGTGGAGTAGGTTTAAGTGGGTGAAGTAGGTGGAGAGTAGGTGGATTTTAACATTTTGATATCCTTTGCTTGTTTTAAGAGTGACAATCATTTATATCCTTGTCTTGCAACAATTTATGTTATTACCTTTCAACAAGTTACATTCTGTTTGCCTTATATATATCATACTCAGCATGACAGCATGATAGCACGATGTCATTCCAATATTTCTTGAATTCTCTTACTATTTTCCATTTTTGAATTTTTGGCAGATAAATGCCATTTATATTCGAGCCTTGTCAAAGGATATAGAATTTTAAACATTGTTCCCTACATACATTTTAAATTTGATTTCTCCTTCCTCATGTTAAATCCTATGAGTTCAACAATAGATACGCAACCTATGAGCTTTTGATTACGTTATTATAATAATAATCTATTGCTCAAAATATTGATTTGTTTTCAATTATTTGCAGGTAATGAGTCCCTCAATGGCACTGAAGGGACAAATTCAGTTAAAGTTGTGAATGGAGGTCTGCTATCAAATGCTATCTACACAGTTTTTAAAGACATGTTTGATAGAATCTAATTCATTTAGAAATTTTCTTTTGGCAGTGGCAGTTGTACAAGGAAGGACACGCACTCTGGTTGAGAGGTTTGAAAGGAGAGAGAGGGAGATTAAATAGTGATGAAGTTCAGGCACCCGATACAACCCCTCAAATAATACCTGAGATGGCTAAAATATCCCCTATGTTGGTATGGTTTTCCCTCCTAAAATAGTTATCTTCTATGGCTATTATGCATAGATAAATTGATATGTAATTTGGTTTCAATTTATATAACCTCTCACTCACACAGGATATTTTGAATTAGTAGACTACATTATTTTGTTATATGCAGATCCTAATAGTCCAAATCCAGCTACCATCATTTCTATCGTGTCTAGTTGCCGTCAATTATCACCATAAAGAACCGGTCACTAAACCATAATTATTACAAGATATCAACAAAATCAACCTTTAATGAAATATTTATACATTTTCTAACAAACACCTTTCTCTTTCTCTCATCCCTTTGTTGGACCCGAACCTCCATCAACCATGAAAGCACCACCATTCCCTTTGCAACCCCCTCTGTTACAGATAACCACAACCTCACACTAGTTCCCTCACCCAAGACAAACCAACACTAGCTTTCATATCTACCATTCATAGCTCTAATCAATCAACTCCATTGCAAAATATTTAATAAATCCTCAACTTACTCACATATCTGTGGATATAATGAAACCATAGGCTACAACTCAATTGAACTAAGCCTTTCTCCCAATTACTTGGGATTGGCATGGATCCTATTAAGCCATTTCACCAAAGTTAATACGTTAGAAGGATTGACTGTGTACATATAAAAACAGTACTGACAGATAAATTGGCCAATGTTAATGGCCAGTTGTAATGAGAATGGTGTTCTATTCTGGACTATTTAAAATAAAACCCTGTATTTCAATTTATTTATTTTTTTTTGATTTCAAGGTTTTTCTCTTACATAATGCAGACATATTCTTAGATTTTGTGAAGTAGTCTTTTGAATATTTATCATGCTACTTGGAAACTTACAGAATGGACATCCACAAATTACTGAAAGGGAGTTGACATCTGCAAATGATGGTAATGTTGCTGAAGATCTGATGCAGAATCATGAGGACTGTGTTTGTTGGGAATTTAAGGAAGGTTTTGATGCAGAATCATAATGCAGACACATTTTTTTTTTATTTCAAGGTTTTTCTCTTACATAATTGCTTGATGTTAGGATTTAAAATATATCTGTTTGATATCAAATGATAATTTTGTTCACATGCTTCTCACAAACCTGCTGGGGCAAAAATTTCCATTAATATTTGGTTGACATGGATTATTTCTAGGCTGAACTTAGAGCAAGTGTTTTTGAGGCAATTGAAGAAGAAGATAGGACAATAGAAAAGGAAGAAGGTTTGCCTCCTGCACTATTGGGTAGCTGCAATGACTGTGCAAAACAACTTCATGCTTCACCTTCAGGTTCCTCTTCAAATCTATTATTTCTCCTTTTTATTTATTTACTATTTTTTTAATTATTTTTTATTATGACTTTGAAGCTGTTGGGTGTTTATATTTTATAGGCTTAATACTTTCATAATTTATTTATCTTATGCTCCTGAAAGTTGTCTTTTGTATGACCATTGTAGTATTGATCTCTTCTTTATAAAGTATTATATATATATATATGACCATAATGTGTCAGGTAGTGGGAATGTGAATTGACTAATTGAAATACATGTCACGGACACTTATATGGAAGAGACGTGTCATGTTGGACCTCGTGTCAGACACTGACACACTGTGAAATTTGAAATGAGAAGCAAAATACGTGTGGAAGAGACGTGTCATTTTGCAACATGAGAAGCAAAATGACGGTATTTACGGCTGCAAAATTTGAAAGATATGTAGACGGTATTTACTGCTGCAAAATTTGAAATTGGAGAGGGAAGATTGGAAGGGAAAATTGTTGGGGAGAAGAGGAAAAAGATTGATGATTCAGTGGACATGGTGGTTTCCAAGGAAGGTTTTGATGATGAGGATAAACTTCTGAGGACTGTGTTTGTTGGGAATTTAACATTGAAGGTTAAGAAGAAGGCTCTGTTTAAGGAATTTAGCCAATTTGGAGAGGTTGAGTCTGTGAGGATTCAGTCCATTCCTCTATTGGATGTAAGTATGTTTCCAAGATTTATTCCTTGGTTTTCATGTAAAGTGCTTCCTGCTCATTTTATACGTGTTAGCCGATTCTAGTTTTAACTATTGATGATTGTTTTATCAGACCAAAAAACCGAGGAAGGGTGCAATTATCCAGAAGAAAATAAATGATGCTGTTGATAGGTATGCTTATATATATATCAATTATCAAATTCAATTCATCAAATGTAGTATGCTTGTCACAAAAAGTTATGATATTTAATGGCATCATCTCATTTTATTTTTGATTCCTGCAATTCGTTGGACATAATGGTGTCGTCTCCTTTTTGCCTTTGGAATTGCTTTGTGTATTAATATGCTCCCATTTATAGTTTTGCCTTCTGTTCTTGAATGAAATTCTCTTACATTGATTCAGACGTCCACTTTTATCATTTCCCAATATCTGTACTTTTGTTGCATTTAATAAAATGTATGCACATCCTTCAATGTGTGATTTTGATTCTTTACTGATGTTGGTTGTTAGAAGTGGTTTCTTTTCATTGATCATATGGCTTCTTCAGTTAACCATCCAACAGACATTTAACTAATAATCTTTAAAGTATCTTTCTCACAAATCATTAATTTTTATATCTTTAATAAAAGCAGGTTGGTTCCTAAAAAAATCATTAATTACACGAGGCCATGAACATATTGAATTGTAACTATTAGTGTGTTGATTGTTTCATCAGGTTTTGTTTTGTTTTATTTTTTTTTCCTATTGTCGTTATTACACCAGTAATAAATTGTTGGGATCTTGCAGTGTTCACGCTTACATTGTCTTTGAAACAGAGCAAGCTGCCCAAGCTTCTTTGGCCCATAATATGGCTGCGGTATGTTGCTCTTTTGACAGTTAATCAACATGATTCTGGGTACAATTGGATATTTTGCTAGGAGAATGTTTTAGCTGCATTTGTAATGGGTTTGTTGATCTAGGTTGGAGGAAATCACATCCGTGTTGACAGGGCATGCCCACCTCGCAAGAAACTAAAGGGAGACAATGCTCCACTCTATGATAACAAGAGGATGGTTTTTGTGGGTAATCTCCCATTTGATGTGAAGGTGAATTGCTCTTCTTTTTCTTCTTATTCTCTCTCTCTCTTTGGGTATTTTGCAGAATGCAGGCTGCCTATTTGCTTCTCATGTTGCAAAATGACACGTCTCTTCCACACGTATTTTGCTTCTCATTTCAAATTTCACAGTGTGTCAGTGTCTGACACGAGGTCCAACATGACACGTCTCTTCCATATAAGTGCAAAATGACGGTATTTACTGCTGCAAAATTTGAAATTGGAGAGGGAAGATTGGAAGGGAAAATTGTTGGGGAGAAGAGGAAAAAGATTGATGATTCAGTGGACATGGTGGTTTCCAAGGAAGGTTTTGATGATGAGGATAAACTTCTGAGGACTGTGTTTGTTGGGAATTTAACATTGAAGGTTAAAAAGAAGGCTCTGTTTAAGGAATTTAGCCAATTTGGAGAGGTTGAGTCTGTGAGGATTCAGTCCATTCCTCTATTGGATGTAAGTATGTTTCCAAGATTTATTCCTTGGTTTTCATGTAAAGTGCTTCCTGCTCATTTTATACGTGTTAGCCGATTCTAGTTTTAACTATTGATGATTGTTTTATCAGACCAAAAAACCGAGGAAGGGTGCAATTATCCAGAAGAAAATAAATGATGCTGTTGATAGGTATGCTTATATATATATCAATTATCAAATTCAATTCATCAAATGTAGTATGCTTGTCACAAAAAGTTATGATATTTAATGGCATCATCTCATTTTATTTTTGATTCCTGCAATTCGTTGGACATAATGGTGTCGTCTCCTTTTTGCCTTTGGAATTGCTTTGTGTATTAATATGCTCCCATTTATAGTTTTGCCTTCTGTTCTTGAATGAAATTCTCTTACATTGATTCAGACGTCCACTTTTATCATTTCCCAATATCTGTACTTTTGTTGCATTTAATAAAATGTATGCACATCCTTCAATGTGTGATTTTGATTCTTTACTGATGTTGGTTGTTAGAAGTGGTTTCTTTTCATTGATCATATGGCTTCTTCAGTTAACCATCCAACAGACATTTAACTAATAATCTTTAAATTATCTTTCTCACAAATCATTAATTTTTATATCTTTAATAAAAGCAGGTTGGTTCCTAAAAAAATCATTAATTACACGAGGCCATGAACATATTGAATTGTAACTATTAGTGTGTTGATTGTTTCATCAGGTTTTGTTTTGTTTTATTTTTTTTCCTATTGTCGTTATTACACCAGTAATAAATTGTTGGGATCTTGCAGTGTTCACGCTTACATTGTCTTTGAAACAGAGCAAGCTGCCCAAGCTTCTTTGGCCCATAATATGGCTGCGGTATGTTGCTCTTTTGACAGTTAATCAACATGATTCTGGGTACAATTGGATATTTTGCTAGGAGAATGTTTTAGCTGCATTTGTAATGGGTTTGTTGATCTAGGTTGGAGGAAATCACATCCGTGTTGACAGGGCATGCCCACCTCGCAAGAAACTAAAGGGAGACAATGCTCCACTCTATGATAACAAGAGGATGGTTTTTGTGGGTAATCTCCCATTTGATGTGAAGGTGAATTGCTCTTCTTTTTCTTCTTATTCTCTCTCTCGCTCTGGGTATTTTGCAGAATGCAGGCTGCCTATTTGCTTCTCATGTTGCAAAATGACACGTCTCTTCCATATAAGTGCAAAATGACGGTATTTACTGCTGCAAAATTTGAAATTGGAGAGGGAAGATTGGAAGGGAAAATTGTTGGGGAGAAGAGGAAAAAGATTGATGATTCAGTGGACATGGTGGTTTCCAAGGAAGGTTTTGATGATGAGGATAAACTTTTGAGGACTGTGTTTGTTGGGAATTTAACATTGAAGGTTAAAAAGAAGGCTCTGTTTAAGGAATTTAGCCAATTTGGAGAGGTTGAGTCTGT